TACATTAAAAGATGGAACACCAACATTACTTTTTAAATATAATGTTAACTTCTTATTTGGTAATAATCCATATTTAAGAAATAATCAAATAACAATTCAAATTACATATAAGTTAGGAGATATTGAAGGAGAATTTGAAGAACCAAAAATTAATACAATTACACCATTAGATTGGGTTAAAGGAAAAGATCCTCGATTTAAAATTACACGAAAAAAAACAAATAAAAAAGGAAGAAATCAACAAGAAACAAAAGTTGAATCATTTTTTGATTTATTTTATCCACAAGAATTAGCATTAAATAATGATATTAATGATGATGGATTAATTGATGAAGAAGCATTACCTATTCATGATATGTTCCAAGCATTACTTACATTAATTAATGAAGTAATTCCAGCTGCTGTAAATTATTTTGATGAAACATTATTAAATGATGAAGGAGAAGATCTTGATGAAGATGATGACGCTTATGACGAAAAACCAATAAAACAAATTATTGACGGAAAACCATCACAAGATGATTCTAATACACAACCAGCACCTCAAGAATGTACTCAACAATAATTTTACTAATTTAGTATTTTCTTTTTTTATTATTGTTTAATTCTTTTTCCTTATTACTTTCATTTCTTTATTAACTAAACTAACTTATTTAAAAATTATATTCTCTCTTTTGATTATCTTTCTTTATTTCATTTATGTATATATCATTGATGCATTGTATTCTTTATTTTATTTGTTTATAAGATAGTAGTAATAATAATTAAATAATAGTATTTACTACTTCCTTTTTTGAGAAATGATGTTATGAAAAAGTATTATTTAATTATTTAATTGAGTTAATATTAAGCTATGAACTATTGTTGTATAGAGTCTGTAACTATAAAATGAACCAGTAATTACTTTAATCAAAGCCTTACATGGAATATCTTTAAATTGCTTTAAAAAAGTATCATTTGTTATAAAAAGAATAAAAGAATTAAATGAGCAACTATTTTATTTAAAAAAAAACTAAAAAAAAACATTAATAGAAAAAGACATAGATGGAGAGTGATTTTAATGATATTAGCAAAGAACAATTTGAAGAATCTATTGTTAGAATGAAAACATATGAAAGTATAGCAACAATTTATTCTGGAAAAAAGAAACAACAAAGCCCAGAATATCAAATAATATCATATTTAAATTCAATAGAAAATGAAGGAAAAGATAAAATAAGTGATATTACTTTTATTGTTGAAAGGAATAGTCAAAAGAATATAAACATTATAAACGAAAAGATAATGACTTTAATAAAACGATATTCAACAATGAGATTTGGATTTATTCAATATTATATTGATGAATTTAATAGACTTTGTTGCTCACATCCACAATTTATTGAATACGAAAAGTTTAATATTGAAGAATATACTAAATGTTTTATTGATGAAAATTATAATAAAGAAAATATATTACAAATACCATTTAATGATATAATTACTAAAGTTATAAATGTAGATTGGAGAATAAAAAAAGATGGAAAGAAAGTAATTATTTTGTTTGATAAATCACCAATAAATATTAATAAGCAAACAAAAGAAATAATGGAACAAGACAATTTTATTATTGATCAATTTTTTGTTTTTATAACACAAAAATATGATAATAAATATCAACAACAGTTTAATGAAGAAACTATTCACTGTAAAAAGATTCAGCACATTTGTTGGAATAAATTCAATTTGAATGAATGTCTTATTAATAAATTATGGTTTAATAAGTTATTAGATATTGATATTAAAAATACATTATTTGATGATAAATTAAATGATTTAAGAATATATATTAATGAGCGTCTTATGAATCAAGAAAAAGAAACGATGAATGGTATTACTATTTCTATTCCTAAAGATTATATCAATTCAAATGAATGTTATAAGTCATATGGTGTTTCAACAACAGTCGAGGTACAACCATCTCAACTTAAAGTTGATTTAAAATGTTCTGGACTTGGAAGATTTAAAATCATGCATCAAGGATTATTAAATAATAAAGAAGAAGTTGCAGTAAAATATGACCATGATATAATTAATAATACATTTGATAATTACATTGGCATTTTAGAAAGTTATTCTGTAACAAAGAAATTTCTTAATGAATTTAATTCAATTAATGCATCATCTATTGAATGTGTTAATATTAAATTATTTGTTCCAACAACAATACCATTATTAAAAAAAAATTATACTATTTCAGAAATACGTCAATTCATTAAAGGAAAAAACATCTTTTTAATTGAGCCATTACTTAAAGAACAATTTACATATTGGAATAAAAATGATGGAAAAGTGAATTTAGAAAATTATTCGGCATCATTAAATTGTTTTAGTCATTTTACTTATGTAAGAAGTGGAAGAAGATTATTAATAAGTGATATACAAGGTGTTATTCATGAACAAAATTATTTATTAACTGATATGGCAATTCATCATGAGATGAGTTGTAGATTTGGGTGTAGTGGTGATAATCATAGATTTAATGGAATGAATAAGTTTCTCCAAAAACATATATGTAATAATGTATGTTTTAAATTAAAATTAAATGGTATTGATACATTTGAAGCAGATGAAGAAGCAGAAACAAAATGTTACATAACAACAATTAGTCAATAACAAAAAATTAAAGTAAATTATTTTCAGTTAATAATATTTTGATTTCTTCTAATTTCTTTAGTGTTATTTCATTTGGATCAATCCATAATTTTTCAATCATTTTCTTAAACTCTCCTTGTTGTCCTTCTCCAAGGGTTTTTAATAATGGAATTACTTCTTTTAATTCTGGAATAATTCTTTCTTCATTTTCTTCTCTAATAGATAAATTACTTCCACTACTTGTTTTCATCCATGCACTAAATAATGATGCTCCAAATGATCCACAACACATAACCTCTTCAAATAATTCTTCTTTATCTTTAAGAATTGTGCTAATTTCATTAACTCCTTTTTTACGAATCATTTCAAGGACAATTTGAGATAATACATATAATGTAGATTTAACTCCTGCTTTCTTCATAATCACATCTTCAAATTTTTCATCTAAATATCCTCCAAGTTCTTCCCATTGGTATTTGTTATTAATAAGCATTTGACTAAATAATGATGCCATTACATCTGATGCTCCTCCTTCAAGTCCTTCATTATCTTCTTTAATATTAATTAATGCATCTTTTAATAATGCTTCACAATCTGCACAACATATTTGAGTAATAAGTTCTTTAATTTTAATTAATTGTTTTTCATTACAAGTTTCATACATTGATACTAATTTTTTAACACATTCACCATATGCATTACTATTTTCAATTTCTTTCATTATCTCTTCAATTTGTATTTCATTTTTAATAAATTTAGATATAATTTGTTCTCCAAATACACCAGCCGTATATGTTGGTGTTTGTGGAATTGGTGTTCTCATTTGTGTTGGTGTAGATGAGTCATATTCTTTTTTTTCTCTTTCAATACGATGAGCACCTCGAGTAGGAGTAGGTTTAACTGGATTTGTTTTTTTAGGGGCATATTTACAATAAATATTTCCTTTAACAGGTGTTGAAACAGATCTTTCAACAAATGAAGATACCCAATTAGCTTCAATATCATCAAGACATAATTGAACAATGATATGAGTTCTTTTAGCTAAATTATGATTATTTTCTGTTAATCTCATTTGGTCTAAAATCTTTTGAAGTTCTTCTTCATTTTCATCCTTTAAATTCTTCCAGACATCTTTAAGTAAAATAGTTAATGCTTCAATTGTTAAATCATTTCCAACTTGAAGTAATTCCTTACAACATAATAATGGTAACTTAAAAACAACAGCCCCTTGAATATATAATTTACCAATTAAACGAACAGTACCAAAATATTCTATTTTTTCAATTTCTTCTGTATTCTTTAATTGAATTTCTTCTTCTGGAGTAATACCTTCTTTACGAGGTTTTGGTTGAGGAATAGCATGGAATAATTGACAACTTTTGTCGAGTAATGTTTTCATTAAAATATTCTCTCCTTGAACAAATTTATCATAAATTTTTGGATTACGTTTAACTTGAATAAAGAATTCTACATATAATGATGCAAACTTTGGTTCATTAATAGACTTTTTAAATAACATATCAAGGAAAATTGATAATTCATTACTTGTTTTTAAAAGACTTTCAACTGCTAACACAGAAGGAACAATACGTTCTTCACTAAGTTTATTAAGAATAGCAAGAATCTTTGACTGAACTAATTCATCATTATTTAATTGTGTAGTAAACAAATTCTTTGGTACAATAGGTTTCTTCTTTTTATTTTCACTAGCCATTTTATTAAATCTTGAAACATCACTTTCAGTTAAATGAATGGCTTTACTTCTTAAATTTTCTATTTCTTGTAATGTATAACAAATGTATTTCACTTTTGGTGATGGTGGAACATATTTCTCTTCTTGTTTTGTTGGTAAACGTTTAGGTATTGGACTACTTGTTAATATTCCTTCTGGAACAAATGCAGAGGATGATCTTGCTGGAGTTTTTTCAGTATTAAGAATTTTTTCATCAACATCTTCTATTGTGTCGTCATTTATTTTCTTTTGGGGTTTAGGAATATTAATAGTTTGATTTTCTACTGTAGTTGTTCGAGTAAAAGGAACTTCTGTCTTAGTAGATATTACAGTTTTTCTATTCTTTGGAACAAATACTTTAGCATCCATCTTTAATTGTGTTTTTGGTTCGTTGTTTATTTCGTGTGTTGTAGTTGTAGACTCTTCTGCTTTTTTAGCTTTTCTAACAAATTTTGGTGCATTTAAAATGAGATTAACTGAACTCATCCAGACTGATTTGATGGATCTACCAATAGGGTCTTAATTTAATTTATATAAAACCCTATTTCATATTTTTCATTGACGTAAACTTTAAAAGCTGTTGAAATATTTTTTCTATTAACTCTTGTAACAATTGTTTTCATTGATAACCGTTAATGTATATAATTTCTTATTATTCATTATCAAATATGACTCATTCTTTGAAAACTCTAAAAAATTTATAAGGAATAAAGAAAAGAAAATATGATTTTATTTCTTATGAATGTTTTTCTTTTCTACCTTTTATTTCTCTTGTTTGTTACAGTTATAATGAAATACACTTCTATAATTATTCAAAACTATATCCTTTATTTCTATAATTATTCATATCTCCCTTTATAAGCTAATTCGTTCTTTTAATGATTTGTAAAAGCTTTTTTAACTGAAAATAAGGTAGATAAAAAAATACCAACGATTTTCTTTAAGTCATTGCTTTTATCAAATCAAGAAATGAAAAATCATACCAAGGAGAAGAATATAAAAAAAAACCAAAAAAACAAAGAAAAGATAAAAAGCAAAAAAATGAATGAAGAGTATGTAGTAGGAATAGATTTAGGAACGACAAATTCATGTATGGCAAGATATGATGAACATCATCAAAGGGTTGAAGTGATAAAGAGTAAAGAAGGGAAAGAAAAGATTGAGTCGATAGTAAGATTTACAAAAGAAGGGAGAATAATAGGGGAAGAAGCGAGAAGAAGTTCACAAGGGGTGATAATATATGATACGAAACGATTGATAGGGAAGAAATATGATGAAATGATAGAGAAAGAAGGGGAGAAATTAGAGTATCGAATACGACGGAATGCAGGGAATGGGGAAGTAGAGATAGGAGTAAGTGAAGAGGAATGGTATTCAGGGGAAGAAATAGGGAATATGATAATACGGAAATTAATAGAAGAAGCTAAAGAACAATATAAAATAGCACCTCGTAAAGCAGTAATTGCAGTACCAGCACATTTTAAAGATGAAGAAAGAAAAGCAACGATATATGCAGGAGAAATAGCAGGATTAGAAGTTATAGGAATAATAAATGAACCAACAGCGGCAGCAATTGCATATGGATATGATAAAAAATATTGTGAAGGGAAAA